CAACACCACCCCTCAAAACTATCAATTATTCTCCTATCATCCTTAGAAAGCACTACAAATTTAATAGTCGAATGCTGTCATGTATTTTAAAAAAAGGGAAATCTAAAAATCAGAGACCATACCATAAACTCTGTCACACCCATTACAATATTATGTGTTAAGATAATATTCCTAAGAACTAAGTTTTCAAATATTTTAAATTATGGTAATGTTATAGCATATTTTACTAAGTGTTCAATGTAAATTACAAAAGGCTAGTAATCTAGTTTACTGCTAGATTATCTGCTCACTTATCTTAAATTCTGTAATTCTATAATTCCACACAGGATAGTTTTAATCATGATAATAAACTACTGTTGTTGTTATTGTTAGGGACCATTGAGTCAACTGCTCATGGTAACACTATAAAAACCGATCAGAATCTTGCCCTATCCTACGCCATCTTCATCATCTCTCATATGCTCCAGGTCATTGTTACAGTAACTGAGTCAATCAATCTTATGGAGGGTCTTGACCCTCCACCTTTCCAAGTATGTTGTCTTTTTCCAAGGACTGAACCCTCCTGACAATATGCTAAAAGTATGTAAGATGAAGTTTCATCATACTAGCCCCTAATGAGCAGCCTGGTTGCAATTGCTTTTGCAATTGTTCTTTTGGCGGCTCTTATGATATTCAGTAACTCTCCAATACGGCAATTCAAAGGCAAAAATTCTTCTGTTATCCTTATTCATTGTCCAGCTTTCTGATATAATTCAAGACTATGTATTGGATCAGTTGTGCCTTGGTTTTTAGATTGACATTGTTGCTCTTTAGAACTTTGGAGAGGGTCTTGACAGACTGTTCCCAACTCAAAATTTCTTGACTTCTTAACTGTTGTTATCATGTGTGTTGATTGTGGATTCAAGTAAAAGAATTTCTTGATAATTTCAATCTTTAATCCACTAAGAATAACTTTTAAAAAGGAGCAGAAGCTTCAAATGTAAATGTATTTTCTTTTTATACTATACTACTAAAGATATTCTTGTACAAAGACCTTTGAAAAAGATCCGTTTCAAAGTTCCCAAGGTGTTTGTAAGGAAAAGAATTCAACCTACATGTCCTCCCACATGATATAATAAATAAAATTAAATCTAAGAAGAAAACTCCCTATTTGATAGCATAGACCACTTCTCATCATGTAAAGTAAGAATAAGTAAAAAATTTTGAATGTCCTCATTTGCTTTTGGACTTGTAACAGAATGATAATCTTAATTTCTAATGTTAAAAGCATTTAGATTGATACCAGTGAGGGTGATTAAAAAGAAAACATAAATGTATTTATTCAATACATGACATTTTCTAATGATTTTTTGTGTGTATTTATTCTGTATCACATTATCATTTAAAATTTAGTAAAAATTTTAGTGGAAAAATACCAGTATATCTTACCTGAGCTGCTTAAGACCAGCCCACAATAGTCTCTTGCATATCCATCTGATTCTGTCACTGCTGTAGCAAAGCTCAAAATTATCTTCCAGATAGTGTGTGAAGCATCCTCTCTGTCTTATTTAATGCAGACTTGTCCAACTCAAAAGTTTTATCACTTGTCCAGCTCAAAAGTTTTATCAGTATAAAAGCCATCTTCCAGCTAATCTTGTCCCTGGGCTTAGTTGCTAAAAACCATCTCATTTATGAAAAAAGAGCATTTCAGTCTGAAAGCATTTCTACTGTGCCTGTGGTTATTCATCAATGGTCAACTTCTTTCACTTGAATGTAAATCTGAATATTTTATGGAATATGAAGGATTCTTTGTCAACTGCTTTAAGATGGTTGCTCATTTTGTCATTTTATCCCAGCTTTAATTAAAGCTAATCTCAATGTAAGCTTCTTTAATACTGATGAAGGCATTTATACAGACTCATGTTAGTACCCGTTTTCATACATATTTCTATGGCTTCTAAGAACAGAGAAAGAACAATGTGTTTGAACAAATCTACATTTAAGTAGGTTTTTAAAGGGATTATGTTCTAAATCTTGTCAGCAACATCAATCAAAAGGTACAGAGCTCCTTGGAAAATGTACACAGCATAAAGACATTGCAGTTCTTTCTTCCTGAGGAGCTTGCAGTATGGAGACCTGACAACTTGTAGTCTAAGATTTGAGTGAACAACAAAGTCATTCATTATGGAAAATTCTTCATCCCTTTGAGCTATTGTGTATTAAATAATTTTAGAATTTGAATCAATCCAAATCAACCTGACAAATGGCTAAGTATGGCTGAAAAGTCTTTCAGGCTCATGTTGTTGTTGTTGTTAGGTGCTGTCAAGTCATAGATGACTCATATGAACCCTCATATGACCCTATGAACAAAAGACCTGAACACTTGTGTAACTTTTATTATTTCTCCAAGTTCATAGAGTTTCCAGAGGCAAGCTATTTTGGAAGTGGATGCCACTCCTATTTGTTTGAATCAGGGAGCTCCACCAAACACTGTCTACCATGGATAACCATTATCGCATTTGACACACCAGTGTCACAGTTACACAGCATCACAACAACCATGAGTTAACTCTGTACGGCATATGGACAGACTAGTGCTATACCACTTAGGGAATCTTTGACCAAAAACATTAAAACCAGGCCTGAGGGCTGAAGATTAAAATCACATACCTTTGGCTTGGTAGCATAACTTTCTATTCAGGCTCAATACAGATTTATTAACACCCATTTAGATTAGTATTAGATGTATAGACTATAATGGAGTAAAGGAGTTTTCTAGTAGCATACTGGTAAGAAGCTGCACTGTAATTCCAAAGATACACATTTGAGTCCACCAGCTGCTCCACAGAAGAAGGATGGACAATCTCCTTCCATGCCATTAACTGGATCTGAAAACCCACTGTAGGATCATTATGGGTTGGACCTGACTTGACAGCACACCACAGTTTAGTAGAACTGAACTAAAAAATAATTGAAAATAATGTACATTAAAAACCTTCTCCAACAGGGTAAAAAGGGAAGCCACAGACTGGGAAAAAAATCTTTGGTAATTACATGTCAGATAAGGGACTCATATCTAGAATTTATAAATACTTGAGCACCACAACAAGATAAAGGTAAACAATCCAACTGAAAAACGGGCACAGGATATGAACAGACACTTCACCGAAGAAGACATTCAGATGGCCAACAAGCACCTGAAGAATTGTTCAAAAACCCTAGCTCTAAGAGAGATGAAAATCAAAACAACTATGAGATATCATCTCACCCCAGTCAGAATAGCAAAATTTAATAGAACAGCAAACAACAAATGCTGACAAGGTTATGGAGAAACTGGAACACTTATTCATTGTTGGTGGGAGTATAAAATGGTACAACCACTATGGAAGGCTGTATGGTGCTTCCTCAAAAAGTTGCAAATAGACCATTCGACCCAGGAATTCCACTATTGAGAATATACCCCAAAGAAACCATAACTGCCACCCAAGCAGATATATGCATACCCAGGTTTATCGCAGCTTTGTTCACAACAGCAAAGAGTTGGAAACTACCTATGTGCCCATCAACAAATGAATGGTTAGAGAAGCTGTGGTATATTCACACAATGGAATACTATGCAGCA